CGCTACATGTCTCCGCATAAAGACAATAACGGTCCATGAAATCAATCCATGGCTCATGTGACTTGCGCGACATGCGCGCCAAGTGGTCCTGCTGTGACAACGCATTATGGGGGAGGAGGGCGCGGACCTGCTTGACCAACTCTTCCCAGCGGGTTTTCTCGGTAACCCCTTCCCCCCTCGTATCACGAATCGCTGTGGCAAGATGGGCGATCCTCCGGTGTGGCATCGAACCCGGCCGGAATTGCTTCAACAACGCCTGTACGCGGTCACTAAACTTCTCGCCTTTGGCCCCCCAAACTGCGGCGTCAAAGATCCATGTAACGGTTTCCTGTGTGAGTGTAGTCAGAAATTCCCGACCCCCGTCCATGGTTGGGCCAGGGTTCCGTTCCACACCACCAATGAGCAACAATTGCTCAATAACTAGCAGTTGGTCTTGACTCCCCCCTTTCTGAACTACTGCACCCTTCTCCTGGCTGATGGGAAATTGGGGCTGGTTCTGACTGGCACTACGGTGCTTAGAGGTCTCCTCTTCACAGTTGGCATTTCTGGCCCCAATACAGGTGATACCTTCATTTTCTTTATAAAAACTGCCTTTGTCCAGTACTTTGTGCCTTATAACAGTCACACCAAGGCGAAAATCGCCCCTTAATTCCATTCGCCCGGAGCCCCCCTCTCCTTCCCTTGACCTTCCACCAAGCAAATCCCCACATTTTTTTTCCACTTTTGCATTTTTTGCGCCACATCCCCCTCCCCCACACCCCCCACCATTTCCCCCGTTGACAGGAAAACGGGTCTGGTGACACCCGTTGCTGTAATGGACAGCGCGATCGATCGCGCCCCCCCCGCCCCTCCGGGCGCTGCCACCCGAAGGTGGCGCGGCTGGACAGAAGCCGCCCCCGCCCCCGTCCCGGGTGACTAACCCCTGACCGTCCCCCCCGCCGCTTGCATTGCCCCCCGCACTGACATCACTCCCTCCCCCGCGCTCCTGGTCCCCACCGGCCTCCGAGGTCGCCCCCCCCCGGTTCCGCCACCCCACCTTTCCGCCGTCGGCCCACGCTCGCGCGTGCCCACCTGCCGTCCACGGAGAGGAGCCGCCGTCGTCCGCGAGGGACCCGCCATGCCGCCATGCTGCGGCCATCACTTGCCAGTGGCCGGTAAGCCATCTCCATGCTTTTTCCGTGGCTCCCTTCGTAGCACTTGCCGAGCCGTGCGGATCTCTCCAGACCGCCGAGTCGCGCTGGCTCCGCCGGTCCGTTGAATCGTAAGGGGTCCGCCCTTCCGCCGGGTCCGTCTCCGTGCTCCGAATCGATGGGTCCCCGCCATCCCCCGCGGGCATCGCCGTGCTGTGCCTTTCCATCAGCTCCACCGGTCGCCGCGGTGCCTCCGGTCGGGGGCCTATCGTCACGGCTTGCTGGCCGGCCGCATCGAATCGCCTCCATGACGCTCCAATGGGCTCCGCGCTCGCCAATGGCTCGTTCAGTTGCACCCGTCCGACTCGCCCACCCCGCCGCTCAACGCGCGTCATCCTGCGCCTCCAATCGTCTCCTCGCCGCTTCCTTCGTCGCACAATCCGTGGCCGCCCCTGCTGTGCCAGTCGGCGGGTCGCTGCCCCCGGAAACAGAAAGGTCGCAGCCCCCATCCCGAGTGGGGTAGGGTTAGGGGCGTGGCCCGGCATCCACGCCATCGGATGCCCGGGCCGTTGGTACGCCAATCCCCTGAGCCTCCATTCTCCATCCCTCCACCCGACCATGGCCGCTTGGAGAGAGCCATGTCGATCCCACTCTGTGGCCTCCACCCGGCACCTCAAGTCCACCATCGCCTCCCACAACACCACCACCCCGAGCACCGCCAAAACCATGGCGGCGCTCGGGGATTGAAAAACGGGATGGCGGCGTTTCCCACGCCGCCATCGGACACCTGGTCCCCCAGGGTCCGTTCCCGGCTCCGAAACCATATCGAGTTGACCGGTCTCTTTCGCACACACTCGCACACGGTCGCTCCCAGGCACGGGAAGCAAAACCGTAGCCGGATGCATTACAGAATGAGTGTATTGACTAAATACCAATCACCGCAATAATTCCCCATCTCCATTGTCCCCATGTATTTTCACCATAACACCATGTCCACCACATTTACTTTCCACCATCAAAAACACACCATATATCATGTATTATATATTAACCGTTCACTTGCCCTCACAATCATCATCATCATCATCATCATCAATATCATCAAAATCCGTCAATTACGTTTGTCAGACAATAACAAAACACAGCCCGTGCACCTGATAGGCGATGACGGGCGTGAAAACCAAGCAGAGTGTTTGTTTGGAATCGATTGTTCATGGTCCCGTGGTCGCTGCATGCGAGGCGCCAGTCCATTTAGCACCAACAAAGGGACACTTCAACTGCAATGCCAGTGACAATTCGGTCACAATAGAGATTGCAGCGCGAAGAAGTTGCAGCGCCTATTCAGCATGGGTACAGATGGAGACAGCACTGCTGCTGCGACGAAAGTTGCCGATCAGTCCCTTAATGCGCATTGCTGCAAAATTCTCAGCACGGGACCGCCCCTGTACATAGGTATCACCACAACAATGTCGCCGATTATGCATTGCGTGATTATGCATGATTGTATATTGCTTGTGCATTGTGTAGGTCGTCCAGCTTGGTATGTACGACAATGAGGCCTCTGCAGCCAGGCGATGGGACATGGAGGCACTGCGACTCAGGGGCGAACAGACTCCCCTCAACTTTCCACACCTCAAGCCCATCTACATGAAGCAGGTGAACTACCTGTGCATCTCTCCGCATGGCATCTTGTCATCCAATTGTGCTGCTCACAGAGTGACGTGAGTTGCAATATTCGGCGGACCCAAGGGAGATGAATGCCCTGCAAGAAGCACTGACAGTGATACTAGCCGCAGGTTACATGAGCTGCAGATTGCATGAGCTGGGATGGTTTCCGGCCATGAACGCTGATATGGATGCACAATTCTGATGCTGCTGAATTAGAGCGAATTGCACAGGGCAGGACTGTGGGTATCATACGTTACTGCACCTATACAAATTGTCAGGAAGAATGCTGAATCATGATCATTTGCATCATCAAAATTATGGCAGCCACGAGTGAAAAAAGCTGCACCGGGCGTTGTGATCCGTTCATGCCTTTGGAAATGCATGCTTTTGATTGCATCGCGACCTCCTGCCGTTTCCTTTGAGTTCCCTGACCAGTCCGCAGCATTGTTTTCAAAGCCAGAATACAGCCGAAATCTAATTATATTGATGGTGTGCTGTGTTGCATTGGCAGTTGTCACAACTCACACACTTTGGCAAGAATGATCCGGACCCAGATGTGGTACTGTACGGGCCACCCCCAGAACTCAATGATGAGCTCCTTGCCCAGTACCAGGATGATCCAGAGTGCAGCAAGAAGATGGCAATGGACCCTGGTAAGCGTTCACGGGCCTGTGATGGGATAGAAAGAGCTGCCAGCGATATTGTAGCATCAAACAGCAAATTCTCATGCATAAGGGTGGTGATGGTGCACTGTGGGTGAGGGCACAGTACGAGTTGCAATGGATAGCCTGGTGTGCACTGTGTGATCAGCAGCAAATGAAGGATGGGTGGCTGTATCCTCAGTAGCAGCGTGGGGGAAACTGTAACTATGCCACACGTCTCTGCATAGGGGCACATGCATCCTCAACATGCAACTCAGGAGACATGCTGACTCTCAAGGCAGCAGCAGCACAGCAGCAGCAGTTGAGAACGCCTGCATGCATGAAGCCACTTCCCTTTCCTCTTTGTATCATGTTGCATTTGTGCCTCTGGGGCGCTGGTGTGCCACATGTACTCACAATCTGCCTGTGTGTTTTCCTCCCCAGTGCCCTCACGTGACAGGCATCCCCTCTCAAGGGGTATGCCCCTTCACGCGCAGCTGCAGGCATCAGACATCGTCATAGCCCCAATTGTGACATCGATGAACAATCGTGATCCCCGCCAATTCCATGGCCAGCCTGGTGGAGGCAATGTTGCTGAACAGATGCACCACTCAATGCCACCCATGCCATCGCCCACCTTCCACACAATGGAAGGTGCACATGCACCCATTCCGATACTTGGGGGTCATCCACATATGAATGGACAGAGTTCAGCGATAGTGCCAATGGACTCCGTCCACTCAGGTAAACCATAAACACTGCCTTTACGTGCCAACCCCGTCCTGTTGGATCGAAGTGAGAGTCTGAAGAAGGGAATACTAACCTATGGAATGGAGCATTTCGCCCACTGCAGGCGATTGCATCAACGCTTTTCATGGACCATCGGCAGACAATCGAATGCATGCAACATTGAATGAAGCCCTGCAGATGGAATCAAGATGCACCTAATGTTCTTGTGCAAATACACAGCACAGTAGAATGGAAGTCCAAAGGTTGCTGAGAATGGTACTTGCAAAGTTGATTTGGGGCTTCCATTTGCAAACTTGATAGGGGACACACTGCGCTCCCAAGAGGGGGACGCATGCAGTGGCACTGATCTGCGATGCATTTTATCTTCACAACATGCGATTTTTGTTTACATGGGAATCCATCTTCATGCTCTTCAGGGCTTCCATCGGCAAAAGCCTTGTTGAAATCGGGAAGTTCTGCAGTTTCCGAGACTCTGCACTTGGCTACAGACAATGGTAGCTCACCGACAGCAGAGCCACAGGGTGTGAAGGTGGTTCCAGAGACAGTGCTGACACATGTGAGGCGCATGATGGAGAGTGTTGTCAAGGCGGCAGAGAAAGACATTCAGGTGAGGTGGACGTTGTGTATCTGCTTCCTGTGCATGGCTGTCATGGATGGCCTGGACTGTGCATTTTGCAGCAGCAAACTCTTACATCTTGGTGCTTGGGCTGCTGGCTAACATTAGCACAGCAAGAAGTGTTCCAGCGTTTGTTTGCATTCTGTATAGGATGCCCTGTGTGAAGAACTGTTTCCTCAATACAAAGAAAACCTTATGAGTATGAAAAAGTATGGCAAGCAGATATTCAGGCTCAGGTGCTTTCCAAGGGGAAAGCACGTTGTCCCAACCTGGGGGTTTTGACAAGAACTGGATTTTGTTGTGCAGGGCGCCCAAGAGCGGTACGACAGAGCAATGGACGTGTTGATCATTGGAGAGGCGATGAAGCGAGAAGCCCAGATATGTGTGGATGTGTCCCGCGTCCGGAAGGAAGCGGCGCAGAAACTCCTCATGAAATTTGGCACAGTGTTGGACCCCGCGGTGCCCAACAGCCAAGAGGGCCAGCAGGGCCAGCAGGTTCCGCAGATCCAGCAGGTCCAGCAAGACCAACAGGGACAGGAGGTTCAGCAGGTGCAGCAAGGCCAGCAAGAACAGCAGGGTGAGTGAGCCCATCGGCACACCACAGCCAGGATGGAATCGGCAGAGCCATTTCAGGGCTTGAAAGTTGCTGCCAGGCAGCGCGTGAGAGGGAATTGGAGGCGGAAGGGAAGGAAGGAAGGAAGGAAGGAGTGGGGTACTTGGATATATTCAAGATTAATTGTGCCATATCTGATCGGCCACGCTGGCCCCCATCAGTGTTGGAATGCGAGGTTGTCTACGCGGGAGCATTTCGCGGCCAAGGAAAACGGAAGCACCAGAGGAAGGGCCGTCCACAATCATTGAGGATGGCTTCCTGGGCGATCTCTTCACAGCCTCAGCGCCCTCTCTCCTCTGCCCTCCTCTGTCCATGACTGCATTGACACTCTGACAGCAACGCGGGGTATAGTTGCACATTCATCAGGAAAGCCCCTATCATGGATTCTCCTTTGTAATACATGGAATATTCACCTGAATAGAACAGCTCGGGTGAGGCGAACAGCCCGCGTAAGCTTCTCTGCCGCAAGGCTTCCGTGTGTCTGCCGTCACCATCAACTCCGTCTGGTCCTGATCGCGTGTTGGCTCGATTTGTCGACGTCGACAGCGCAGTTTCTGCAGGCTTGCAGAAACAACACAACGTCGGCTCATCCACCTTTCGTCCAGTTGAGGCCGCCCGCGCTGTTCGGCGCACAGTGCATTACGGCCGTGGCTGTCCAAACGTGACCGCACAGGCGGCTATGACGTTCGTCGCCGTGATGGAGGGCGCACTATGGGGGCCTGCCAGCTTATCCACCACAGCGTCAAATCTATCGAGCATGTCCGGACTTGCAGGACCTGCAGGAGCACAACTGCAGCCGCCCGCCGAGCACAGTCGACCATTGATTCGATTCCATGCGCTCTTGATGTCCTACACGGCAATAACCTTTGTGATGTACAAATGCTGTTCACAGTGATCAGTAACGTTGTGTTGTTGTTGCTGTGTTTTCGCAGAAACGCACGTCGGAATTATCCGAAATCGTGGCTGCGCCGTGTCTAGCAGCCACGCCTGTAAGCTGCTCGCCACCGATGTTTACCGAGAGCTGGGCGAAAGCCGTCCCCTTCAACAAGGAAATGACCATGCACGTTTCAGGCGAAAACTCCCCGCCTATTGTTGGTTAGAATCTCTTTGTTCGTGCCCCTTCTAACCGCACGATCCCACAGTAACGCGTGCATTAATCTATGGACCTAGGGCATGCGAAGGGAAAATGCCACGAGCAGCAGGCCTGGAGGGCTGCTAGTAAACTGGCCAGTTGCCACTGTATACATTTCAAGTGGAGTCCTTCTTTTGGGAAGACAGTATTTGAAGTTTATACGCTTGGCGTCAAATGGACGCTGGGGGGTGAGGCCATGGACGCAAAGAGATGGGGTAATTGCACTAAATCAAAACAAGGTTGGGGCCTGTTGACTGCAACTTCTGCTTGTGGGTTTGTATTGACCCACCAGATGGACAAAACGCAGCTAATCAGGGAGAAACAGCTCATGAAATGTTCCAAAACCTCGCTCAACTATTGAATTTCGAAAAAGTCCTTAAATTGGATGAATCAGCAACATTTGGGCTGCTCCCAGCGCCTATAATGGGTTTTAGCGTTTCATTTTTCACCCCATTCCATTCCCTAAACTTTGGCTGCATTTTCCCCATATATCTTCTTCAAGTTGTATTGCAATGTTGGGTGATGTTGCTAAGCCATCCTGCCATTGAAACAACGATTGATGCTAACAGGAGGCTGGGGGGGGAGGGGCTGAGCGTAGCGTCCGTTTGACACTAAGCGTGCAAATTCAAGAAAGTGTCTTCTCTTAACAACTAAATTTGTTGTAAAGGAGTAATACCGTGTTACCACACATGGTATTTAAGAGCGTGCTGTCAATTTGCCGATTTGGTGCGCTGCAAGTGAACCAAAGCTAAAAATGGGCCAAGTCGTGCAAGTGTTCGCTGCAAATCCTCGTGTGAAGATTTGATGCATAATAGTGGCAACGCGATGGGGACGACCCCACGGCTAAAGGGCGCTCTCGCTGGAAGACGTTCAGGGGCCCACGGTGGATCGCTTCTTGCAGGAAGGTGGGCAATTGCCCACCAGCCATGCGACACACCGCGGGACACTGCACCGCGAGACAGACTCGTCGGACTGTTCTATCCGAGTGCAGCCCGACCCTCGAACTGATCTCCACTGCTCACGTGAAGTTCCTAAATTCCCCATAATGTCCCAATGACGTTGGTGGCCTCGCTCTCAACGGCCGCCGTCCCAAGCCGATTCAATCCACTCCAGGAAACAAAAATCTGGACCAGCGCCGCCAGTTTTCGATCATCCCAAGCGAACCCCGCCACAACTGTGCCTTGGGGCCCACCGCCCCTTCCGCGTCGCCTCAGTTTTGGCGGGAGTTTCTGTGGGGCCCGCTCCTCGCGCGTTCGGACTTGAAAGGGGGCGGCGCGCCCCGCCCGCCAACTGCGCCCGCCACAGGACAGCGCCAGCGCTGCTCCCCCTCGTCGCCTGTCCGCCTCGACGCGCTCACGGCCCAGGGTCGTGGACCGGGCCGTCCATAAAGGTCGCTGCCAGCCCGGGCGCCCACCCCGCGATGGCGGCATTCGAGCTGCTGCTGCGCGCCGCTGGCGTGGACGGCATGATCGCATCGAGGGAGTCCCACGGTGAGACTTGCAGGGGTCGCTGGCACGATCGCGCACGGCGGTTGCTACGGAAGGGCATGGCGCTGGACTGGCGAAAATGGACAGGGCAGACGATTCGGCAATCTGAACATCGTGTGGCCGGACGAGTGGCCGTTATGCTCGTCGACGGTGGCGCATTGCTGCTTGGATTGGGACATTAGGCGATGGACGCTCCGTCGGGGGCGGCAGAGCGAATCGGGCAGTCGATTTGCGGCATGGATCTGGCCTGAAAGTGTCGCGAACTGATTCCCATCGGCCCTGTTGGTGGGCCCCTGAAACGGCACTGCTGTACGACAGAAGTACGTGCCGGTCTGCACACGCGCGTCTGCATTCTGCAAGGCCGTTATACACCTTTCATCGGCGCGCAGGGCGATCCTGTTAGCCCACTGATGCGCGGACAGGATCACTGTTAAGCCGCTTTGCTTGGGCCCACTTTACGCCAATCTGAGCTATTTTCAAATCGGTTTGGAAGCCCGACACAGCACTGTATGGCCAGGTTGCACAGGTTCCCCAGATGTATGTTATTGGTGCCACATTATTGGCCCTATGGTCTATAAATTTGCTCAGTCGCCAGGAATGCAGGCCCGTTCTTCCTGTGCTCACATTTTAGTTGCTATCCTTGACAGAAGATCACGGTTCTCCTTCGGCCGTCGACGCTCCCTGCAAGAATTCTCTGACGTTGAACGGCCTTCATACTACGACTTTTCTGCCCTTGGGAAGAGGATCGTGGACGTTGGCCAATCGCAAGAGGTCGCCAAATACAGGTGCCTTAGAGCCGGGTTCGCCATGGACTGCACTGAGAGAGTTGGCGTCCGCAGCATCTGACAAATCTCTGAGCATGAGTGAAGGAAATTTGGGGGGTAGGTTGCAGGGCACCCATGAAATTCTTGGTCGAATTCAGGTGTCTTCATGCAACAAATCATTGTACTCTGCCCAGTAATACACTCTGAACAACTGATGCTTGCCTTCGTAAAAAATCATTTTCTTTCCTCCCCAGCTGCCTTCACCAGTTGTCTTGTGACGTTCCTTGTCCAGCAAAGGCGATGTTTAGGCCATAAAATCACATGACATAGCAAATGACATACTCAGACACTTCACAATAAATGTGCGACACAGCAACAATGGCTGCCTTTCAACAGCTTGTACGATTTCGTTGCCACAGAGCTCAAGGAGCGATCGTCAAGTCCACAGGGCGCCAAGCTCTCATGCAGCACAGCCCCTGATTCCAGGTCTACGGAAACATGCCAAAGGCACAAGTTCAGGCGCAGCAACTCTGGCAGTCGTGCGGCAAGCTCTCCAGATATGCAGCACTACACACCAGGGCAAGGAGGTGACAGGCGTAGTGACCTTCAAGCCGACACAGTGCTCATGCCACAATCTGACAGTCAACAAGGTCTTAGGAATGGCTACCAGCAGATGCCCCAGTGGTGTAGAGATTTCGAAGCACCACACAGCCAGGCAGGGCGGCTTCTGCGCACAGAGTCCAAACCAAAGTACACGTCGAGAATATTGGCGGGGTGAGGGCTGGATGTGGGCTTTGCGATTTCCATGTTCCAATTCTGTTGCTGCCATTTGATGATTAGCTCTTCACCATGTGGGTTAGCATTCACCAGTCCATCCAGCGTAGATTTCAAATTCCACACAGATGCATTTGTCACAGTGTGAATCGGTGCAGTAAAATTATGCAGGTAGTACCCTAATGTGGTACCTCAGTTCCTCAGTGTACAGGATGGCACTGGAACATTGGTTTCATAGTGGGGAGTGTTTTGCTTGCAGAGATGAGCTGTCATCTCTGGTGGAGATAGGCAATCGATTGGGTATAGTGACCCCAACAGCAGAGGAGCAATTGGCGGCCCCACAGTTGCCCAAGAGGCTGTTTGGCCGTTATCAAAGCGTCTACAAGGGAATCAGGCACAGGAGGAGCAAGAACAAGAAGATGTTAAAATGGGACGTTATATTCCACGCTGGTGGTGTGGTACGCATCTCAATCTTCAGCCATGTCTTGCAGCATGCTTGTGGCCATTGAGTGGAGTAGAATGAGGACTGGCATTTTGTGTTTCTTGCTGTGATATGCACCACAGCATGTTTTCAGCATTTCTGCCATTATGTTGTTTTGCCCTTGTTAAGCAGGATCCTCCCTTCTTGATTGCAAACACTGCATGGCATATCTTGTTTTTCAATATATATGACAGGAAAATCCCTCCAGTTGTCTCCATATTTCTATCTTTAGTGATCCTGCATGGCCTGCAGCATTCAGGGTTTCCAAATGAGCTTGGAATTGTGCCTCTTATCAAGAGGGTATCGTGTTACTGCGTTACTGCACATTCACTTTCGCCACCTCCAGGTTTCATTTCCGTACCAGTCTTGCTTGAGTTATCAGTTATTGCAATTGTCACTACAAGTCACTGGTGTTCAGCACACAAATGGTGCCATGGACATACATAGACTTGATTGACTGGATCCTGCTGTGACCATCATCTCATCCCCTGGTGCAAGGACCTTTTTTCCTTTTGTGCACTTTGGACACAATTAAGCAGTGGATTCAGAATATGGTGCCAACTGGGGCCATGAACACTGAATGCGCAATAGGTCTGGTTTCACTCTATGGCAGCTATGCATGGTTGATGGCAATGGTAGATAAACCAAGCAGGGCTGTAAGACATGTGTTGCTGTATCCCATGCATGGAAATGTCTGTTGATTCTGCAATGCAGAACGTGAGATACACAAGGGTTTACTGGGAAATTTGTTGAGGAACTTGTGCTGACTGCGCATGGTATCTGGTGTTGCAGTTAACCAAACTAGGTACATATGAGGACGAAGCCCTTGGTGCGCGGGTGTGGGACTTGCAGGCACTGAGAGTGCGGGGAGCGTTCACCTGGATTAATTTCCCACACCTCAGAAATTTCTACCTTGCAGAGGTATGCATGCACGCCCCTGTGGATCCATCTGGCAGGGTCTGCACAAATGCAGGCAGGCGACGTTCGTCAACTCATCATATTGTTGCTCGCCTTGCACACAATGGCTGTGCACCTCTTGTGCCTGTTTTTGAAATCCTGCCGACAAAGCAGCTGTCGCATCCATGGCATGTGATTGCACATGAGAAATTTCGACTCGCTGACACTGGCAGTACCTCCACTCCCAAACACTTGGTGCAGAGAGTTGGCCCCTCTTTGTGCCTGAGATTCCAAGTTGGGGACGCGTTGAAAATGGTCCTGGTTGTTGCTGCCCATTTTCTACAACTTGGAGTCTAAAACCCCAAGGCAGGCTGAAAACACATGAAACGGTCTGTGGATACACATAGAAAAGCGGGCTGGAATCACACCAACGCTTTGGGGCTGCATAGATTTCTTTGCAAAACAACTACAAGAGGATGGATAAATGAAGCATTCCTGCATTGTATTTTGAAAGAAAATGGCATAAAATTGCCAGCATCGGTGGTGTCGTCTCAATGGCATCCTGTAATTCCAATTATTCCTCTATAATACTTCCTCCGTCCCAGATAAATTGTCGTCTATTTGAAAGACGAAATTCGTAACAAGGACGGCCTCAAAATTTCAAAACAGTTCAAGAAAGAAAGATTGCATCCCAAAAAACACTTAGCTATCAATATTCAGGAAGAAAAAGTGAGGCACAACGTTGTGAGCGTAAGGTGAAAAGTAAATTTTGGTCATTTTTGACTCTAAATTTCGAGGTTTACTAGGTAAAAAGACCCTTGATACAAAGTAGTGCCAAATCCTATATACTTAATGGATTGACTTGAAATTTTGGTGGTTTACTCCAAACTCACAACTGTAGCTGAAATTTCATTGAAACGGGTGTGGGTATGATGGAGAAATAATGCCCCAAAGTCATAGAGGACTATTAATCTCGGATGGAGGAAGTAATTCCTATAATCCCATTTGGTGTCATCTCAATAGTATACTACGTCTCTTGTAATATCTTTATGATATCCCATGCATCCCATGGCACCCTGCATCCCCTAATAGCTCCTGTGTTTTCTATGTCATCAAGTATGATATCTCATATATCTTGTGTAATTTGCAGAGTTTTACAGACCTGCTTGTGAAGATACGTACAAGTGTTCAGCGATAGTATGTGGCTGGATGAAAAGCTCTGGATGGTGACTGGGCAACTCTTGTTAGCAGTGGCAACTTGACGTACCACTCAATGTGCCAACAACCAATTTATCACCATGCGAGTGGCGCTGTGCACACTAAAAACGTGCTGCTGAACAGTTGGTTTGGCTGTTTGCGCCAGCTGTCCAAGATAGGAGAGAAGGTTCAAGGTTCAGATGAGGCCCTTGCCTGCCAACGTCCACTTGCGTGCGAGGTTGTGGAGCCTCCTGCTGTTCAACATAGGCCACCAGCAACTCTGATTGTCCCCATGAACGAATCACAGCACAGTGAGGGCAAAGCTGTCAGTACAGCACCTGAGGCACCTCCTCCTGCAGCAGTCCCCACACAAACTCAACCCTGCAACTTGCAAATCCCTACACCAGGAACTCCACAAACCATGTCTGCAAGGCCACCTGCACCAGCTCCGCAACTGGAAGGTGTGTTGTGGTGTGAAAAATGCTAACTTGTACTGCACTGACTGCTTTCATCATGTGATTGTTTACTACCTATGTATCTGTCTGGCAATGCCAGGACAGCCCCACAACCGTCGCTGGAAAATCTGCTGAAAACTCCATGTGGAACCAGTCATTTGTTAACACAAGTGCAGTTTCTGTTGCCCCATGGATTTTCATGTGCATGCTGAAAGCTGAACCCAGTAAAGAGTCAGGTGAAAATCCTAAACGAAATGCTGGTTGTGTTCCACACTTTAGAAACCGGAATGGAAGAGAGTGGTCTACAGATGTTGAGCACATTGATGCCAAGACATACCCAATCAATGGGTGACAACCGATTCCCAGATACACACGCAGGACACACAGAGGAATCCTGGGAGGGCTTCTTGCAACTCGTCAAGTGGATCATAATGGGTGTTGTGAAGACAGCTGACAAGGATGTACAGGTGAAGGGTCCTGTCCACTTGTTAGCTGATGTGGCAGCCACCACTAGGATTACAGAATCTGTCCCATATGGCACCATGTGGGCCCACGGCTTTTCCTGGCCTCCCCCATGCCCTCCCACAGATGCACACATGCGCAGTCCCAAGATTCTGTAACCCTATTGCACCAGCTGTTTTCACAGTATTCACAGATGCAATCCAGGATGTGGAATGAATTCACGACCAGCGCCTGGCAGTTAGTGCAACACCAATTCCATTCTCCAAGCCATGGAAGTGGAGATCGTTTCTTATGCAGTTTTGTGGCCTGTGCCAACATCTGATCCAGCTATATTGCTGCACGACCTTGCCTGCAGTGGGCACAATCTTCAATCCCACCTTACCTAATGGGTGGAAAGGGTATCGCCTATTGCTCAATAGGGCGCTCTGTCATGTCTTCACAACAAAGAGGTAGCAAAATTAATGACTATGCTGAATATTACTTAAGGATACTTTCGGTTGTGACTGCCTGATGGGGTGGTGATCATGGCGATCCTTGACATTGCTGAGTGCAAGTTGCACTTTTGACCATACTGAATGCATTGTTCCCTGAGCCCCACTGTCTCGTCTACTTGCAGACAGGTGTAGGCCTTCTTAAACGAGCCATGGACATCTCCAGCATCTGTGAAAAATCGTGGCAAGCACAGCAGGTTTGTGTTAAGTATTGTGGAACAAAGATTAGCTAAGTTGGGCGTCGTGCCAGTTTCTATTCAGTTCTACAATAACAAGCGTATCAAACTGTGCACACAGGCAAAAGGTAATAATTTTCACTGCCCATTTCTCTGTTGCAGAGGGGATTCAAACAGTTCTGATGAATCTCCCTCAGCGGCCTGTGTGCTTGGTAAACACAGTGCATGGACATCATTATCCTCACAATGTATCTAGATTCTGTTGCTGGGCTGCTGTCACACAAATCGAACGCAAAGAGCGCAGAGAGAAGCACACTGGGGACGAGAAGAGCGAAGGAAGGCGTCCCGTTGATGGTGGTGACGTTGGCTGTGGCTGTGAAGGTGACGATGCGTTTGTACGGTACAAACGCCTGCAGAGCTGCTCCCCCGCACACATCGTTCTAACACGTTCCGCACAACGTGCACCAGGTGAATCCGTCAGTTGCGTCCCGGCTGAGGGATATCGGCGAATCCCTGAGGCGGGATGTCAAGTCGTCGCTCCGCGCGGCCATGACCAGAAAGGAGGCGGCCAAGAAGTTCCTCGGCAAGGTCGACGCCTTTCTCAGCGCGCCCAACCTCAGGGCCGCCTTCGCGCATCAGCCGACCAAGCTGAACGGGGCCAGGGTGGCTTGAGGGCGGTGGAAGAACGGGGGAAGGGAGCGCACGACGCCCGTTACACAAGTGACGCCCGTGACGCTGGCACTTCGCCCCAAGATTCGCAGCCCCAAACCTTAGTGGGCGCCAATGGGTTGCCCACGGATGAGCCACACAGGCCAGGGGGGTCGTACAGGAATCACATGAGTGCATCGCAAAGGAATGGGCATTTACCTGGACGTCGGCATCACGCCCAGAGCCAGGAAGCACCCAAACTGTGAAACGGCGGTCGACTCCAGTACAGCGTGACGAGTGCAGAACCTCGAAAATGCTTTTGTCCAGGGGCATGCTCATCTTCGGCATAGGAAAATGGACCAGACAGGGGGGGATAGCCTGCAAAGTAAAAGATTCCATCAGGTTGTGCGACTTGTGTGCACCACGTTGAACGAAGGTTGAAGCACTGTGGTGAACGGCCGCCCTCTGCGACGTCTTTTGCGCAAAGTGCCTGGTGGAAACTTGACATGGAAGTTGTATTCACCTGTTAGTCATCCTGGGTAAAGGAGCGAGAAGACACAGTTTTTATTTTTATTCTTCTGGAACACTTTGATTCAGAGATTCTGGACCCTGTGACGACTGGAACCATGTGTAGCATTTGTAGCATTGGATGCAGCCTTGCAAACTCGTGGTATGTTGTGAATCATCATCACATGGCATATTCAAGTCTTCAGCTTGCAGGGGATGCAGGGAGTAATAGCATCCGACGACTTGAGATAGCTTTGCACTTTTCGCTCCTGCTTTTGCAATAGAAAAATAGATAAAACACAAGGAGTGTAATGATATGTAGAAAATGCAATGATTGGAAACTGCAATACAGTAGGGCTCCCTATATAGCGTGTATAACCCCACCCCCCCCACCCCACCCACCCTTATCGTACTTTATGCAACTTTGCTGCACAGTGGGACCTCAAACTAGTGCAGGGGAGCGCGGTTTAGCGACCCCTGTTGGCGACCCCTGCCTAGGTACAGCTAACACCTGAACGGTTTGTCACAGTTCCCGTAGCACTTTATTTCACTGCGACAGGCCCCAGCGCCCGCGACTCGCTGCTGCGACTTCGTCGCTGGCACCGAAAGCCAGTACCCCCCTTAACACAATGGCGCTCCCGGCCCCCAATAGCGCCCCCCTTTTGGCAATGTCACAGGGGGGCGCTACATGGGAACCCTAATATACAACATATGCTACATGACATAAACATGAACAAAAATGCGAATACAGCCTAAAAAACAGTACTACGCATGAGAAACTAGTAGAAAAGTGCAAATACAAATCAACAATGTAAAACAATCCTTCCAATATTTCAAATAGAAACGGAAGTTGCCATTGTGCGACTGTGCCTGTGCAGTGTCACCGCAACTGTAAGCACAGTATTTACTCCTGGAAGAAGCATGCTTTCAGGTTGTGATCTCTTCCCCCTGCGAATGGCATCCCCACGTAGCCTGTTGGTTCCCGACAGACAATCTGCCAAAAAAAGAAAAAGAAAAAAGCGCCGTGTTTGGGGCAAACCGGAGACAGGAGTTGCATATCACGTTCACTTGCGTACTGAGAGTCCCACCCTCGCTGTCGGACCCGCGAGAACGGCGGGAATCCATGACCCTCGTAGCTTCACGACAAATTCCCCCCCACTTCATTCATGTGCATGGACACTTGTCCGTGCCTCGTGTTCAAGCCAGCAACGCGCACGGACAGGGCATCTTCGGTGCCAGGTGTGCGCCGCCAAACCCAGACACGCCCAAAGAAGAGCACGATCAGGTTGGAATCAGCAGCCCTCTGTTTGCTTCATGGGCCCACTCGCCCCCGTATTGCCACTCTCGCTGCGTCTCTTGCTCCCGGCGCATGGCGCCCTGACGGTCTCACACGACTGCCGCAGCCATCCCCGCTGTGCGCGGTCGAGGTCGCCGCGAAGCGCGGGCCGAATTGGTGCCAATCCTTTCATCAGCAAACTAAAGGCGATTAGCGGGTGGCGCGAGGTGCTGGATTGCACAACATCGCTTCAAGGCGTCTGTGCCTGTTGGCCACGGCCAATGCACAGGTACCTTGCCTTGGAGACAGCTGGATTGCATCTCGCGGGATCCGGCGCGGGCGTCAATGTCACGTTGCGCCGCTCACGGCTGTGCCAGCAGATAACAATGTGAGAATTGAATGGATTCGCCCTGCGTTGCGTTGGTGTCCACATGGGCTGCCTCAGGCCTCGCCGTCAGATGTCAAGAGTTCAAGGCCCGCATCAGAGCTGGTCGGACTCGCTTGGGGCCTCCCTGCCACTCGTTCCATGGAGAGCTGGCTCCACGCTGTTGTTCTTTGAGCAACACCAGCTGCCTCGCAGGTCGACAGCCAGTTGACAAGCCGGAGGCCTGCGTGCCGTTTTCCGCATTCTCAAAGAAGTTCGTTCGGCTACAGGCTTCACGGAGAGGGGTCGTCGATCCAGTCCTGATGGCCGCCAATTCCGAAGGTCGGAACAATTGGGGTGCTAAACTGATGATCCTGTGGTTGTGCAAGCCAGCATGCAAAGCAAGGGTGCTGCCTTTGCTTGCAGTTGGATGTCCTTGATCCAACGTTTCATGCTGTGCCTGACAGGTCCATGTTTGGTGCAGGTTTAATATCGTGTTTCCGCGCATGGGAGCACTAGGACACTGTTGACATATGGTACCTGACAGGAATCACTGTACTCAATGGTTTTGCTGTGTTCAATATCATATGTCCATCCAAGGACACCAAACAGGGGCCTGTACTTGGCTGGGATCTGTGGCCAAGATATTTGGCAACATCGGTGTCTGGGGCACCCTACAGAGATGCCTGGAGTTTGTCCTTTGCCGTGCAGGAGTAAACCAAATATATCAGTTTGCTCAGGTACTCATATCCTCATCAGGCATTGTCGCTGTCAAGGTGGGTCAGTCACATTTGGTTTGAAGGGCCCAGTGCACAAGTGCACACAACTCCCTTGCCACAGATACATTTTGTGCAAATCAACACTGTGCCGCTCCTTGTTGGCATTGAGAGTAGCCCGATGGATGTCCGCATATACAATTGTGGATTGCTGCAGGTACATGCCTGGCAGTGGTGGGCGATGTCCATGGCTTTTGGAATGATGCGGATGAATTGGCAGTGAAGTTTCTAATGGAACATTCTGGTGTGGACCTCACCCTCTTCATTGGTGACATTGGCAACAATGCGAATATCGCTCTGGTGTCCAAGATTGCCAAGCTGATTTTCCCCAAGGCAGTCGTGCTGGGAAACCATGACGCCTGGCCTCCTAAGAGGTGCGCCCTCTCTTTGTTCTCTGATGAATGTTTCCACAGTTCATGTCTCAGCTTTTACCCCTGAAACACTTGAGGCCTTGAAGTGCAGTTCTGTAGTGTCCAGTTCTGGGCAAGGACAGGTATCCCTGTGAATTGGCCAGGCCACCACATTTTGCTGGGAAAGTCCTGGGGTGCTTACCCCAAGTCCCTTGCTGTACCCAGGCCAGGCCTCGATTGAGGAAGGGGATGTGCTCTCACTGCATTCCTTGTGGCAGTTGACAATTTCTGTTATCCTGGAGGAGATGGCCTGTCATGCAAGAGCTGAAACTTTTAGCAACTGCACATACGCTGGGTCTGTCCAACCATCGATGCCTGTTATTTTGGCTCATGTGCAATATGACAATGTTTCAGATCTGGTGTGGATCTGCTGTTCCCAAGTGCTGAAGCACAAGTGCTCTGCCCTTGCGCCCTTCTGCGTGTGCAGTCACACATGACAGTGAAAGCATAGGTGCGCAGTGCCTATGCAAATGGAACAAGGACATTTGAACAAGGAAACCTCCTTGTCATACAGTGAAATCCAGAATCTATTACATCCAGATTCTACTCCATGTGTGTACAGCACAAGTCTATTCTGTGACAAATCCCTAAGGCCATATCCAAACTTTCTCAACAGGTTGGGTTACTTGTCACTTGAAATCTTCTGTTGTTGTCACTTGTGTCAATGTGTTTGCAGCAGCCAAAAATGATTGCAACAGAGTTCGTAGACTTATGGGGACACCTTGCCTGTGAAAGTCAAGTTGCAGCCCTGCTGAGCTGCGATCATTGTGACCTGATTGTTTACTCACCAGTCATCGATCCTGCACTATCTGGCAGAAAACTTGGTGTCCTGATATCCTCAAACACTGCGGCTAGGACTGGCATTCTGCATGACTAGGACACCACAGATTTGGTTGAAATGCACTTTGCTTTCTGTTTCCGCTCTGGTTTTGTGCGAATGGTTTCGTTGGGCCCAGTTGACAGCCACTGTGCATCTGCAGTGTACCAATCTTCAGCAGAGAGCAAAACTCTCAAAATCACATAGTGCCTCAGTTGCGTGTGCTTGGAGAAGCACATGTTGGATTTTCGTCAATGAGAGTTGCCAACAAGCCTGTCACAGTAGTGGGAGCAAGGCCATTTACAGAGGTACGATGTGCGATCTGTCCGCCGCCCATTCATTCTGCCATGGGTTTGTTCCAAAAGAAAAGGAAGAAATGTCATGCTGTTTCCCCACTGGGGTGATGACACAGAGATCTTGGAGTTCAGCTGGAAGGCGGCCAGCACCAAGTTCGCCCTTGTCTTGGCATGACCTGGCTTTGCTCTTCATTTGCGTCAGAACTTGGTGACTGAAGCTGCTTTGACTGATGCCATACCTAATGTTGTCAAAGCACTTGAATGCAGTTCTGCAAGGAAATGGCCACAAGTGTGTGTCCAGACGAAAAATGCTGCTGATCAGAAGTTTGGATAAATGCTCCATGCAGGAAGGAAATTTTCCTTCAATTTAATGCCGTTGCCATGTGTCTCTGCATCTGGAATATCCCTGACAACACGAAACGCCGTCTCACCTGGCAACAGGGTGTCTTCAATGTGCTTGGGGTGAATCCTTAATATGGACAACAGGAGCAATTTGAAACTTATGACACTGTTATCGCAGGGGGGGGTGCACGTCTACAACATGTCGCAATTCTACAACGAATTGTACGGCATGGAAACAGTGGATGAATACACCAAAAAGGTGTCCGACCTGATGATTTCAGCTCCTCCTGATGATGCAATTGTCGTGATGGGCCACAACGGGCCATCTGGCCTAGGGTCTAGGAGGTGGGACATTTGCGGCATCGATTGGAAACAAGAAGAGGGCGATCACGGAGACCCTGATCTGAGAGCGGCGATCGATCGGAGTGCACAGCAGGGCCGGCGACCGGCCCTGGTCACATTTGGCCACATGCACGAAAAGCTCAGGTATGTTGAGGCACAAAATAACGCAGCAAATCTGGTGTGAATGGTTCCCACTTCACATAAAATTACTATCCACGTTTGATGGTGTTAAATTGGTGAAATGGTGTCTGTCAATAAAAACACATCGCACATCAATTGGGAAACCTTGCCTTGTCAATAAAAACACATCGCACATCAATTGGGAAACTTTGCCTTGACTTATAATTTATGAAAGTGAAAAGGAAGCGTCAGCTGTTTGTTCATTGGTAGCCCATCGCACTCGTGCACAATATCCAGGTTTCATCAATGCGCATGTCTCAAAGTAGTTGTTAACGATCAGAAGAGACGTCTTTGAAAACTCGCGAGCTGGTACACAATTAAGCAAGTGTATTTGCACCGAGATGAACACCACTCTCAATACTGTAGTCGCCGTACTGGAATGGGCATGGTGATGGAAGGCCCATCAGCTTGAGGACCAGATGGACAGTTTGGACGCGAGCGGCTTGAGAGTTTTCAAATAGTCTGGGGCGGCTGTTGTCGTTGTTGTCCGACCTCCAAAAAAGAACCCCCGGAGTGAAATCCTGGAAGAATGTCTTCAGAGGAAGTGTTCTTGGTGTCGAGGGAAGGCGTTCAGATCGGGATGGTGATTTCATGTGTCTGTATCAATGCTTGATCATTGACAGCTTGGCTTCAGTAATGTTGTTGTCGTGGACTTGTTTGTACACCCACTGGCATGATTCAAGATCAACGTCTGCATTCCTTCGGAATCGAAATCAAACCAGATCTTGACAGGAAGCAATTCTGCTACCAGAACAAAGACGAGGACGTTCTGCTGCTGTGCCACCGTGGGTGTTCCAGTGCTTTCCGGTACATTAATATTGGACTAGTCTGCTCTAGCGGTACCAAGGTTGTGCAATGCAGGATTCTCAGAATCCACGGGTACTTTGGGCGCTGCCTCCTGTTGCTGGCTTTATGCAGTGCACAAGCTTGGCACCGCTCACAAGCACGACACGTCACTGCACGGTTGTACTTTGATTTTTTCGTCGATTGCAAGTTGCTCGGACAAATTGTATTCCTCCTGCGCAGCCGCAGGGTCGGCCGGTCCGAGAAAAGGCGTCGTGTCGTCGTGGAGGGCCCCCACCAAGAGACCGTCCACCTCAACGCGGCCGTGGTGCCCAGGATCAGGCCACTTGGCGGCAGCGGCCATCCGGCCCACCACTTCTGCGTCGTCAGAATCGAACGCGGCCGTGTGGTTACTGCGGAAGACGTGTGGGTGGAAATCGCGCAGGAGCGGCGGCCGCCCTGCAGAGTCGTCCACACGCAAAGGTTGTGCCAGTGGATGGAGGGGCCTTGCGACGGGGAGGGCAGTGGGGAAGAAGGGCAGGGGCACTACGCGGTGTATGACACGCATGGGGGGGGCTGGACGGACGTGGAGGAAGAGGTTGGACGGAAGGTGACGAAGGCCGCGTAGTTCTTGGGGACCCACGCTTATGTGCGTCGTGATGGAAGGGCAACCAGAGTTGCGGATAATCTCAGGGGGGCATTCCCCAGTTCTTTTGAGAAACACTTCTGCTGCCTTATTCTTTTTGTTGATTGTTTTAATTGAAACACTTGCGTTTCTCATTGGCAGTCAGCTGTGGTATCGGCTTCGGACGCACAAGAGTCTGTAGCCATCCTTTAGGCTGAGTCCAGTGGCTGTGGAGGGATACAGGAGCATATGGCAGCCTGTGGCGTTCCCCAAATCTGTACCCACAATGCTTACACGCCAGTACCGGTTTGCAAATCTGGGGCAGGGGTGGACACGGTATGCCATTGCGCTTCAACATCTACTAGCCGAACAGCAGTGTTCTCAGTGCTCACCATATTCATTGCCAGGGCACTGCTCATGATTTTATGTGGCTGCAAAGCTGGAGAGAACGTTTGCGTCCGCTTTCTCCAGCCGTTGGCGGCATCAGCCCCAAGCTGCGGTAATATCCCGACGCCTACGTCTCTAGTTCGGCGATTTGTCTCTTGCAGACCCATCCGAAATTGTCTGATGGCCGTCCAGAAATCAACTGGCCTTGCGACCGCTGTGCACGCCGCAAAACCCTGCAAGCAAGGGGCCGGTCTTGCTGCTGAGGAGTTGAATTGATACGATTCCCCTGCCTTGAGTTGAAATGCCCGCTTTCGTTTGGGAGGCCAAACGTGCATCAGGTAACCATTGTTTCTATGCCAGGCACCATTGTTTTTGTGTGAGGTGATTTTTTTTCATGTGAGTTAATAACCTTTTTCTGTGGAAAATGCATTAGGGATCCCATAACAAGTCCAGTCGATGCGCTCGTAACTTTACAGAGAATGGACCAATTCAGCAGCTTGAGCAGTAACTCAAAATCCGCGTGGCTCTGGTAGGAGAAGTAAGAAATTCACACACTCTCACCAATCCTGCCAAAATGGACTTCTGAATCCGGGAAGGCACCATTCCACGGTGGTGCACCTTCGCGTGGACACCAAAAGGGTAGAGCCGTCCGCACCGTTGCGGCTCTTGCACATCAATCGGCACCCAGAATGAAGGGGCAATCACCAGAAGTGTTTCTCGCCAGCCATGATTCCAGGAGGTCCCCCCCTGGCGACGATCCCTCTTGTTGGATGTTGTTTGTGGGGCGACTTTGCAGGGATAGGATTAGAGTTTTCTTCCATTCTCTTCAATTGGATGAGCGGAATGCCACATGTTCATGTCGTCTGATGAATGCTGCAGAACTGCGTTTCAACACAATTTGCTCGTGACCACGGTTGCGAAGACCTGACGCGTGTGTGTGTCGCAAGGATGGCTCCTGGCCACCAGCCATCCATGAGACACAGAGCCCTGTTGTGGGCATTGAAAGGTCGCCATCCCCAAGAAGAATCAACAGAACCTGGCAAAGTAACCACCGATGTCAATTCATTGAGATTTCGAGAGCTCCTCACTGCCAGCATGAAAATAATTCCGCTGGAATGTGGTTTCATCCTAATGTAATTTCCATTTTGGCGAACCCTTTTGGTTAAATGATTACATGAATACATTGTTACAGGGCGTATATTGAAGAGATCACTTGGTCCGCCCTCACAGGGCCCTTGTTCTCTTCCCGAACATTTTTGAGGTGATGAACTACAGCGATTTTGAGTCCATACTCAACAGAAATGGACAACCTGATGCGAAAGTGCCTCTGCAGTTTGATAATCAAGAATAGATAATCGGGCAACGGAAATTGGGAATAATTGTGCAACAAGTTCCTTCGCAATGGAAGATTCATACAATAAAGGCATGCTTACCGCCAGCCTGCTTGAATCACCCAATAAATGCGCCTCGTGGCTGCATCCATGCTGGGGTACAACTCAACCCGATTCCACAACCTACGTGAACATATCTCCAGCAAACAACTTACAACATGAATGGTATGTCCACCGTGTCAGTGCATGAATTCGCCATTTACTCAGCCCATCATTCTACATAAAGAGAAAGACGCCATCTCAACTGCTTGTGGGGAAGCTACAGATGTCGTTGATGACCTCGGAGTTGGATCGGAGTGTAGTGCCCTCTCAGGAAAACTTGTGCTACCTCTGTTTCATAAGTCGTGTCCGATTTCAAATTTGCCAGAAAGGAGGTCAAAACATTAGAGTCAGCAAAAATGACAGAAACAACTTCGAAGCGCCATATCAAGAGCTATTCGTAGAGTTCTCAACGTTCAAAATGATGCTGCCGTTCTTGTGGTATGTCAAGAGGAGCTGAAACACGATTTGCCATTTTCCCGGGCATTGGATGGGGCACAGCATGTTTGCCTTGCCCTTAGAAAGAGCTGGATTGATCTGAGCTGTCACTGAGAGAGAGGTGTGCTTTAGTGGTTTGTTGCCCAATGAAAATTAGGCTTGATCCCAAACAGAACCTGCAAGGAAAAGGATTTGAGTTCGTTGCAACATTTGGGGTAATAACAACAAGTGCGTGCAAGTGATGTTCAAAGGCCAAGAGACAATTGATTATTGCAAGAACATCTATCTCTCAGATGTGCCAAAGTTGCCAAGGTCGCACATGCTTGCATCAACCAAGAACATGCCCTAGATTGAAGCAAATGCGGCCAAACAAGAATGTCGAAAGCACGACTCAGCATACACAAAGTGTGTAGTAGTACCTGTATGTTGTCTACAGCAAAACTCGCGATGAATTTCGGTGCATTGGGTTGGGACATACTGGAATATGGCCAATGCAACAATACGGGGAATTGAGGGTCTGCGTGGAATAAGACAGGGGCGTTATTGAAAATGTTGCTAAATGCCATATTGTGTACTGGTGACTAACATAGTAACGGTCCTCATCGACCTAAAATCAACGAAGGAATCCAAATATAGTGGCAGATTCATTGATCGAGTTGATCTTTGCAAGTTCCAGCAAGAATGCGAGATCAGACACGACTTATGAAACGGAGGTATTACAAAATATGTCCAGACCAGTCCCACCTGTGTTCCTGCATGAGTATTCTAGATTAGAGCAAGGTCGCTTTGCAATTCGACTTCGCCGTTCTTATAGATGAGGACAGATTCTCACGGTGGCCCGTTGCCCTTGAACCTGGCTTGTTCCGAATTGCGCCCACCATCGCCCATGACCACGGGCGCTCAGTCGTGCCTGACCGCTTCCATCCGAATCCGTTAGAAAGCCGTAATGTGGAGGGTCTTGCATCGCTCCCCATGGCCCTCGTAGCTCTCAGATGGCATCGTCGCCCAGTGCACAAGGCCCGCTTTGCATTGCTTCCGAGAACACTCATGGATTGCGGCTCGCATAAAGCGGTAACTCTTCAGTGCGGCCCTTGACGCGATTAACAGGGGCCCTTGGCAAGGGCCTTCTCCGGGAAACGCAGCATTAGGCTCAAGCATTGTGCAGTACTTGCTGGTACCACTGTTCCGCCAAGGGTGTCTTTCCCATCATTCGATCATACTCTTGCAGCCTTTCAGACACGATGTGTAGTGGAAGGGAATTCCGGGCGACGCTTGCTGCAAAGTCGGCCCAGAACTCTGCACTTGAAGAATGCGGACCAGCATTGCTGTGAGAAAGAAAGGCTTTCTAACTGGCTGCCCTTCGCGTTCGACGCCGAAATTGCAGAACGCTGTTGGATATAGAGATGTGAGGCAGTTCGTCTCCAGTATGCACAACTCAAATTCATGTGTCGAACTCGCTATTACAATGTACAATGTACTCAATTTTGGCCTAAAAGGTGTTTGTGTGACGTTTCATGTTTTGTCAGTAAGCTCACAGATTCTGAAACCAGCGCACAGGGTACAAGTACAGGTAATCGACTCTCATCCCCCAGGACTTGAGAAAAGGAGTCCCTCACGCCAACGGATCCCGAGGCGTGGGGGAGCAGTGCAAGGCGCTGGTGTGAGACGGAGACCGCGCTAACCAATGATCAGAACAACTTCACTGGGCATTGATAAGGCCATTCACGAGGCCGCGTCGATGCCCGGAGCGAGGGGAGATCCCAAGGCGTGGGGGAGCAGTGCAAGGCGCTGGTGTGAGACGAAGACCGCGCTCAACCAATGATTAGAACAACTTCACTGGGCATTGATAAGACCATTCACGAGGCCGCGTCGATGCCCGGAGCGAGGGAAGAAAAGGGGTCCCCCACGTCAGCGGATCCCGAGGCGTGCGCGAGCAGTGCAGACTGCCGGTGTGAGTCCCGCACCACGCCCAACAAATGATCAGAAGAACTTCGTTGGTCGTTGATGAGACCATTCACGAGCCGCGCTGGTGCCCCCGCAGCGAGGGGCGCGACCAAAAGTCCACGTGGACACTTCCTGCCGCACTGCCGTCTGGCTCAGGACCGCTTTCCTTTCAGTGCGCCTGGCGCTGTTGTGCTCGCGTGAGGATGGGGAAGGAAGGCCCATGACGACGTCACGAAACCCACAGGGATTTCCAAAGGTGAAGGGGTGGGAGGACCCCAGTCACACCTTGTGCGCCCAGAGTGTGACCAGAGCCAGGCAGGCCGCGGCGCGGTTGCACCAGATGGCCTACATACGCGCCAAATTGTCAGGCCACCAGCGTGCAGAGGCCGGCCCTGTTCTGGGAACATCACACTTTCGGGGGGGCCGCGTGGCCCCCCCATTTCGCTCCTGCCTCGTGCTGCACGCTCAAAAAACACGTCACTCCCTTGATGTCCTCTCATCTAAGTCAGCGAATGTGGTCGGCAGTCGTGCTTGTGCTCGGCCACGGGAGGCTCTGTTATACACAGCGCCCGCGTGGGTCAGCGCAGTCCGCGCACCCCGTCCCCTCTCCCCTGCCTGAGCGGCCACTCGCTGTGCACGGCCACGGTCGCACGGGATCTCCCCCCCACCCCACCCCACCGGCAACATCTGGGCCAGGCCCCCGATCGGCCGGTCCAGGAGCATCCGCCTTTGCCAGTCGCCGCTCGCGTGACGCTTTCGGGCCTTTCACGCTTGTAACGCCTTCGGCAGAAGCCACAGAAGCCACAGGGGAAGATTTCTGCCGATCGGCCCCCTCGAGGCCGCTCAACCGGTCTCGGGCTTTCCGCGGTGTCCGCCGGGGCAGTGGTTCACTGGGAGGCCAGGCTCGCGTCCCTGGGACGCGCCTGGTGGGGCGCGGAAGGGCGGAAGGCCGGTCATTGCGCGGCGCGAACGGGCGCTGGCGCGGGGACGTGTGGCGAGGATGGGGAGCACGGAGAAATATGAGCTGGTGGGCGGCCCACGAGCTTGTGACTTGTGACTTGCCGGGCTGGGCATGATTCTTGCGGCTTTGGGGGTGGGGTTGTGGAGGAATCGTGGAGTTTTCGCGGCGGGGATTGAATTGTTGGCGTGGCTTCGGCGGGAGTGGTTGACCGACCTCGAGTTGCTGTGCGGCCGCAGATCAAGGACCTGGGTTCGGGGAATTTCGGCGTGGCGAGGCTCATGCGGAACAAGAAAACGGGCGAGCTGGTGGCGGTGAAGTTCATTGAGCGGGGGGACAAGGTGAGTCGGGCCGAGGCGAATCTTAACCGTTCCCGGACGGGTGGGCGCCGCGGGTGGGACCGCGGGACGGGATGGGAGGCTGGCGTTTATGGGTCAGTGGCGACGAAGGGAGCGCGCGCGGGGGGGGTGGGGACTTGCGGAGCTTCCCAACATCAAATTGGGGCCGTTTGTTGCCTTGTGTTTTGGCCTTGGTGGAGTGGAGGCGGACGCCTTGTGCTGGGGCTGGGTGTTGGGGTGCGGCTGCTGGAGCGGGCTGCCCGCTTGGCTGCCTGCCGCGTGGCGTCCCGAAAGACCGGGCGACCGAACTGGGCTTCTTTCTTTCGCGCGCCGGGACGGCGAGGCGGCGGCGGTGGCCCTGAGAGGGATGACGCCCCGTCGCCGTGTCGCGCCTCGGCTGGCACCCGCTTCAGGGAGCTGCTCGCATCCTGTCTGGCATCCGGTTGCTTTTTGCGCGCATTGGGCGCATCCCTTTATTCGGTGCGGGGCCTGGGGCAGGGGAGTGGAGGGGGCATCGGCCCAACGTGCGGCACCTTGCTCAAACTGAAACACCCCCGTTCTCTTTGTCGGTTGCCAGATTGACAAGAATGTGGAGCGCGAAATCGTCAACCACCGCATGCTGCGGCACCCAAACATCATTGGGTTCAAGGAGGTGAGGAGGGCTTGGCGCGCATCGGACGCTGACCCGCGTGACGGCTGACCTTGGCTCGTGTCGCCGCCGCGTCGGGAACATGGAACAGACGACAGGGGCTGGGCGTCTCACCTCGTTCTTGTTCATCTCCCTGTCGGGTGTACGGTAGTGCTGCAGAAAGATGGAGCCCTGGCGCTGGGAGGCCCTTGTGCCTCCCCAGCGATGGGCCACGGTGGCCCTATTGGCGTCGCCAGTCGTGCCAGGGGCGTGATGCTGGGCATGCCAGGGGCACCTGCCTGGTTGTGAAGGCCCTGTCACGCTTTTAGTATGTGGGGTAGGGGGGGTGGGGGGGTGGGGGGTAGTCTGCTCAAGGACAGCCTATTGTATTCTGAAGGGAGCACCTCCTGTCACAGCCCTTAGGCTTGGATGCCCTTGGAAGCACACTGTTTCGCTTTTTGCTTGTGCTGGACGTCGTCGCAACGGGTGTTGCTGGGGACTGCAGGTCTTCTTGACGCCCACAAACCTGGGAATTGTGATGGAATACGCTGCTGGAGGGGAGCTGTTCGATCGCATCGTCAGGGCAGGAAGATTCAGCGAGGATGAGGCAAGGTACTTCTTTCAGCAGGTCATCTGTGGGGTGGACTTCTGCCATCGCTCGGTGAGTCCAGTTGACACAGACCTCATATGAATCGCGTTCCTGGGGCAGGCGCTTGCCCCAAATTGCCTTGTTGCTGTTGTTGGAGCAAGGCCATCCTGCTGTCTAAGTGGGCAATGGCAGACTTGTTCAGAATGCACAACGCCCACAGTCAGATTGTTTTTGCAGGTTCCTGCCTGAATTTAGGTCAGCAATTTAGCACCACTGACAGGTCTAAGCTTTGTGCGATGCAGGATGCTGACAACCAGTTTGTGTTCAGATTAGTTCACACCTGCTGCAGTGTATCAACTGAGTTGCCAAAGCCCAGCGATTGAATCCAGTAACCCAGGAATCTGACAAACACGTACCACAGCCATGGCCAGGGAATGCAGATTCTTGTCTTGCAATGCATGCTAGCTGCAGAAGGGCTCAGCTTTCATGGGCCTTGAAGTGCTTTACCCTTGCTGGTGTCCTCAATTTACATGGTGGTCCAGAGTAACCCAGGCGCCGATTTAAAGAGCATCAGAGGTAGCAACAGGCTGAAAGGTGGACTGGATCTCATTGTGGGTGTGTCAATCGTTGCAGGGTGTATGTCACCGTGACCTGAAACTGGAGAATACTCTCCTGGATGGATCGCCACAACCCAAGCTGAAGATCTGTGACTTTGGGTATTCAAAGGTACAGGATTGATTCCCAAATTTAGTGATTGCCTTATCACTTGCTTCCTACTTTTGTCCCCTCACTATTAACTATAGCTCACCGTTTCTGCCAAGCTTCTTGCACGTGTGCCTTTGTGTAGTGGCTTATCTGCTTGTAGTCCTTACGTTCTGTTGGCTACACTCACGAACAGCGTGTATTTGGTGCTGAACCATGAAATTCGTTTGGAAGTGGGAAGGACCTGGCTTCTGTATTTCCATTGGCTGAATCCTGCCATTTCTCAGTGTTGTCAATGTTTCCTGTACAGTCAACCGTCTTCGATTCCGTTCCCAAATCCACAGTTGGGACACCAGCCTATATTGCACCGGAGGTCCTCAAGCGCACTCAATACGATGGGCAGATCGCCGATGTGTGGTCATGCGGAGTGACGCTGTACGTCATGCTTGTTGGTGCCTATCCCTTCGAGGACCCTCAGGATCCTCGCAACTTCCGAAAGACCATTCAGGTTTGTGATGCCACAACAGCAAAGTTGCGATGCTGACTGCCTCAAAAGATTTACCTCTGGGGAGTTGCAGTTCAGACTTAATGGGGCCACTGCTTCAGGGATGCCATCATCAGTCCAAGGGAAGCGGTTGTATGGCAGGCTGGGCCTGTTGGTCAATTTGCGCAAAGGGTGTGCAACCCGCATGCTTTGAAATTGGTGCTGTTGCTGCACAGAACACTGTGTTGCCTTGCCCATCCATGTGATTGCAGTGAAACGCAGTCGACTGGAAAGAAGTAGGAGTCGCTGACAAGCTGTGCACAGCTTCAAACGTGTGTGGCCCCCCTGCAAGCTGTGCTCCTCTTTGGTTGCATTTGGTTCTTGGACAGACTAGGCTCTTGCACCTACAAAGCAATTATGAGCGCTATGAGTGTGTTTCCAGAAAATTCACGAATGTGCCTTCATCGAATCTTGCATGTGATCAGCAGGACCAGCCCCACAGTGGTGCTCATCCTTGCTCCACAGTTCATGGGTCTTGAACTCATGCTCTGCTCTTCATGTGGAACACTGTCAGGCACGTTTTTCCGGCAGCATGCACATGGGCACAGGCAAAAGACTGTTGTCATGTGCTGGTTAATGGCAAACGTGCCAGAAACTGACACAAAAATAAAGGCATTGTTTGGTTTCAAGAGCACTTATTCTCACTGTGACCTGGTGGTGCTGCTTCAGTTTGTCCCTGACTGATTGTCCTGTCTGCTTGCAGCGCATTATGGGTGTGAGGTACAGCTTCCCGACATCGATGAGGATATCTGTAGACTGCATGAACTTGATTCAGAGGATCTTTGTTGCTGACCCTGGGAGGAGAATCAGGATCCCTGAGATCAAGAAGCACCCTTGGTATGTCAAGAACCTTCCAGAGGACCTGAAGGTGAGTTTTGTCCTCGTGGCCAGCTTGTGTCTGCTGATCTACTGTCGACTTGCATCCTTTTCTTTGGGATTTGTGTCCTCAAGGAGCGGGATTTGATAATTCAGCGGTTTCAGCTCGGTGCCAAGTTCTGTTGCTGGATCGTCTGGTGATCGTCCCAACTGCAGGAGCCTGTGGAACTGCACAAACCGAGATCGTTTTGTCCTCCCTGCAGTGGAGTCCTGTAGTGTGGGTCTTGACATGCTGCCACTGACTGGCGTCCGTGCAGGAGGACGTCGCTCGGACGTCCCCCCAGCCTGAGCCGCACCAGAGTGTGGAAGACATTCAGCGCATCGTCAGTGAGGCCCGTGTGAAGGCGACCACGACGGCCCCCAAGAACGACCTGGAACAGGAGCTGCTGGATGAGATGAACGAGGATGCTTACAACATCTGAGGAACTATGAAGGGGAGAGGCTTGAGTTGGCAGAACGGCTGGGGACGCTGGGAACGGACTGCCCGCACCTTCGCCACATTTTTTGTGTTTCTGGTTGGAGAGATATTAAGGGGAATGCAAGGCTCCTGCGCTTGGAGGCTTTGATGACGTCACTTGGAGACTTGGATTGGCTCCTCACGGGAGATGTTTGGTTTTGACAAACTCCGTGTCGGGCCTGCAGTTGTGTGTGGGCTGGTGGCTCCCGAGTCACAAGAGTGCAGGCTTTTTTATGCGACTTTTTTGGCTCTTTGGTTGTTTGGGGCTGGTTGCCCCTCCTGAGTGCCGGGGCGGCTGGAGTTCCCAGATTGGTCAGGTCGGCTCCAACTTGTAACGCGAAGAGACGAGACGCGGAACGTCGGGGTCGTGCATGGGGTGCCCATGGCGCATGGGCTCCTTTTACCCGTCCTGTCATGATTCACCTGGGCAATCGTTATGCCGTGCGTCATGTGGGCTCGTACGTACGCTGTACACACGTATCTGTACGTACTCGATTGTACGATCTACGTGTATCTGGAGGCGATTGACTTGGGGGACAAACAACGCACTGTGCAGCCATGTTGTGCCTCATGGACGATACTGAGATGTTACATTGATAATAAGTTGATGGGGAAAAGATCAGGCGCAACAGTCATGCGTGGCCTCGTAAGAGTTGAGGAGGTTCCGTTCCCGAGTCGGCCACCAAAACGCCACGCCCCCCAGTCTGGATCGAGCGGGTGCATCCACTTCCAGAGCGTCGATCGGATCCCGTCCGCCTCAGTCTCCGGGAGCGCCACGGGTGGCCTCCGCGGCAGTGAGGCCTGAAGACGTCACGTTCTGCCGCAGCCTTGGTCCGGGCCACGCCGGCAACGCCAGTGTGCAAGGGCGCGCGTCCTGGGAGACGGGGAACGGCCCACGAGGACGATGGGCTAGAGGCTGCGCAGCGTCCCGCATTTCTCGGTCATGCGGCCCGGCAGGGCCGCGAACCAAACAGCTGAAGCAGTGCAAACTGCCAAACAACACACCCTCAACCGGCATGCCCCACAAGTCCCGGCGGCAAGCAACAGCCCGAGGGAGCCGCTCAAGTTGGCTCCTGGCCTCCCTGCCAAGCGCAACAGATTCGCGCAACCCGTGCGGCGCGCTACGCTGCGACGTTCTTGAAGCCCTTCCAAACGTTGGCGTCCATCCTCTTCACCATGGCCTTGATCTGATGGCCCGGGCCCAACTCGAAGAGCTCTTTCTTCCCCGCCTCCAGCAGCTTCTTCATCGTGTCCTCCCACTGGACGGGCTCCGTCAGCTGGCGTCCCAGGAGCTCTGGTATTCTTCCGGAGCTCGAGAACGGCTCCGAGGTTACGTTCGAATATACAGGAATGCGAGGCTGGTGGAATTGAACCTCTTTCAGGGCCTGCGCGGTTGCGATGCTGCACTTAGGCCGCCTCCAGACGGTGTCACATGATATCCGCTCCAACACTTGTGCAGAAAAACTGATGGTGGTGATGATGACGCGACACTTTCTCAAGGCACTGCATCTGTCACCTGGAGTAGATGGGGTATTCTCGATCCGCAACACGGTGTGGCAAATGCCAACAGTGCATCGTTCGAGGCGAAGCGCAGTGCGCATGGCGTACGCATCTGCAAACTATTGGACGGGCCCCACAGTTCGTATGCAAATGCACCCTTTCTCCCCGTTCACGACCGTTGTGAATGGTGCCGTTAGGGTATCAACCGCTTTCTAGCGATTTGGGCGCCTCCAGAAGTCGGCGGGAACGGCATCGTTCATTATCATCATCGTTCATTTTTAGATGACAAGGCAATGAGAATCAACCGCGGTGCTATTACCTTCATCAAGTCGTTCCTCGCCGATGTCATGAGCTCCGTGTGAAACGCCCCACTAACTGCCAGGCGTGTGGCCTTCAAGGCCCCTCGGGCAGTCGCCAATTTCTGCGCCTCGTCGAGAGCCGATGTGTGCCCTGAGATGGTCCGTCCCTGCACACGTGGTCAAGCCACGAACGCTCATTACTGGCAAGTGGCAGCATCAGCTCACTAGCAGAACCAGTCAAATACCACCATATCTTCCACCCTTTCGCATAATAACGTAACGTTTGGCCAGTTTTGCGGAGCAATGCTAGAAACGCAACGGCGCCAAAAGGGAATGAAGAGCAACCCCAACCGCAACGCGAGGGTTTCTGGACTGCTCGTGGCGTCTAGCGGCCCCAGATGCGTGAGTCACCGTGGCGGAAAACTGGGTTTTGAGAACATGCGAACTCAGAAGAGTCGCCATTCCGGTCATTACCATTGGGAGAAGGGCCCCAAACAACGGCCTGTCGGGAGAATGCGGAGCAAAATAGTAACGTTGAAACTCTCTGGGGCGGAATGGTTGAATATTTCGCCGTATGCAAAAGTAAAGGTTTGACAGTAATAGCGCTCTGCAACGCTGCACGAAGACTAAGTCGAGGCTGTGCACTGGGGCAATGGCGAGGGTATTCGCCATGACTATTATTGATCCAAGCAGAACTGTGCATGTCTTGGTGAATTTGATTCATCTGCCCCTCTGAACGGACCACTTTTCGCAGCCTTACCTGCGGAAAGAGGTAGTTGGCGATCTGGCAGACGGTGTCCTTCCCCAACTTGGTGCGCACCTCGTCGCATATGGACCTCAGCTCACCGTCGGCGAGGCCCACCACCGACAACATTCCGTGCGGCGCTCCCCTTTTTGCCGCATCAGCCATGCTCGCCGCGCGAACTTTCACAACCTGCCCTTGGCGCAGAATCCCGGTGCTGGTAAGATTGCCGATGCAACAGG